AGGGGCCCTCCGCTGCTGCGGGGTGGCTGCCTGCTCCGGCAGTGCCCTCTCCGGGGGCCGCAGGGGAATCTCTGCTCTGTGCCTGGAGCACCTCTTCCCTTCCTCCTCTTCACCTTAGTGCTTGAAGAGCTGTTTCTCACACTTCTTTTTCCCTTAACTCCTCACAGCCGTGCAGTATGTTTTGTCCTTTCTTACCCATGCTTTCCCTGAGGTGCCACCATGTTGCCCGAGGGGCTCGGCTGCGCCCTGTGGTGGGTTCCTTGGAGTACAAGTAGGGGTAGCAGTGTCCTGTGCCTCCTCCCTGGCTGGGCAGGGTTGAAGGTCACTACTGAACATAGGCATGCTCTTACTCTCTGCATCGACAAGCCCACCCACATTCGTGGGTCCTTTGAATATCAGCCTCTCAGTCTGCCTCATACCTGGGCCCCTTACTCAGGCTGGCTTGCTGGCTCACACCTTGAGTCTTTTATACTGAAGAGTCTTTAAACAATTAACTTAATGAACCAGGTGCTCTTTCATTCCACACGCTCTTACGTAAGTTACCATTTTTTTTCCTTGGATCATAAAATCAATCGTGAAAGTATTACAGGCCATGTAGCAATTATTCGTACATGATCTGTTGTACATGAACATGTTGTACCTGTTTCAAACTTCAGATTTTCAGATGCGCTCAATCAGTTCATGAAGTCACAAACAATGGTTAATCACAAGATAGTACCTGGAGTATTAACTTGGCCCACAACATCTCAGGTCATTGAAGAGACACGGACAGAGAATTTACAGGTATGTTTTAAAAAAAAAAAAAAAAGGCACAAAACCCTGTTCTGTCAAATAGCCTTAAAAAAAAAACAGTTGTCATCCTCCTCCCTCCCTCCCCATTGTCAAAGCCAAAGAAAGATGGGCGAGAGGGAGGTTTCAGCCTGCAGCAGCCAGTGTGAGTGCTGCTGCTCATTGTCTAAGAGTGTTTTCAGCCCCAAGGCTTGGTCTTTGTAGAGCAGAACTCTTCTTGCAATGACAAATTTGAACACCTGGGAAGCGTCCCATTTACAGTACAAGGGAGGAGGCTCTGTGTCAGGCTCTGTGCTTGAGTATTTCTATGCAATAATATGGTTCTAATCTGCTCCAGGTGTTTCATAATGTGTTAACTTCTTAGTTGCACCAAACTTTAAGTAGATGTGAATACTATACACAACGTAATGCTAGGGAGAACTGGTTAAAAATTTGAATTAGCAAAAATGTGAAGTTGAAAATTTCAGCGGTGGTGCTGTATTTAAAACCAAATAGGAGAGTTTGACTGTGTAGTTCTTGGTCAATGCAGTGGGAGTTGTATGGTAAAATTCCTTGTTTGACTTGAAAAATCTAACTTGTGGTTCTGACACTACAAATTGCTTTCTCATCGTTGCATTAAGAGGTTAAAGTAATTTGGCAGATGCCCAATTTGTCGTTGTAAGTCCGGTCGCGTTCAGTGTACTGAACTGTCACGATTACAGATGCACAAATAACGTGAGGCACCTTCCGTCTAGTCGCATTCTATGGACTACCACGGCCACACTTAAAGCATCTGGTTGCGTTCAATCAGAACTATCACGGCTAGATTAATGCAGTGTAGTTTATTAAAGCAACAGATATGCAGGTTCTTTTGGATTGCTGGTGATAAATTCACTGTCTGCAAAGCATGTGCAAATACCAGAAGTATGAGTAACACAGCCTGGCTACAGATGCATTAAAAGATGTAAAGCGACTATATAGAGGTTGCTAAGTTTCCCGGGGAGGCGCTTGGTATAACCAAGTGTTCGACTCTTACCCAAAGGCGTTCCGATGTGGGGGAAGAGAGGCTCAGCCTGTTGACTAATCCCAGAAGTCAGAGTGGTACACAGTGGTATCTTCCCTAACATTCTCTCTCTCTTAAGTTATTTTATGGTATTTTTTACCTTTCAGGTGGAGCTTGAGCGACTCTAGTCATACATACCTTTGTTATGATTGGTATAAAGTTTTCTTGCTTTGTTTTTAAAGGTATAGACTAGGAAAATTCAAAGCGCAAGCTCAGTGAGGGGTGGTTGTACCTTAGAGGCGGGTAGCTTTTGGGATGGAGGTGTGTTTTGGTATTATAATGATATTATAATGAGCAAAGTTTACCAAAAGGACAGCATTTTGTCAAAATTGTGACAGACTGTTGGCCCGGGGTAACAAATACACAGCTTATCAGTTCCGTGGTACCTTCGAGTTCCCATATCATCAGAGAGCTTGGCCATGGTGTCTCCACACTGCTCCACCCTCCGGACATTTCCTCTTAGAGCCAGTACACCAAGTTCCCCTGGTGTTGCCAACATCTAAGGTTGCAGGCCTAGGGAACTTTCAATGGAATGGATTCCTTGCATGCCAGTTGCACTCCACCCTGGAAGCTTTTTCAATGCTGTACCTTTCCTAAAAATGTGAATATAAGTTTAATTTCTAAGTCGCCTCCAGCAATTATTCCACAGTCATGCTGAATGGCTTTTTTTTTTAATTATTATTACTGTTGTTATTGTTTTTAAACTATAATTGAGTCACTGGTATTTGTGAAGGGTTTCTGGATAAACCATGCCATGAGAGGCAAGACGCATGAGCTTCTCTGCACAGAGGCAGTTTGACATGGTAGAAAATGCTAGGTTATTCAGTATATGAACTTGGCTGTACTGTACTGACCTGATTCGTTTCTGGTAGAAGCAGCAGTCCTCTTGTTTCCTAAACCAAAACTGACCTAAAGATTTCTCATAGACCCCCAGCTGACACCACAGTAGTCTGGCCACAGTTAATACATCAGTGGTCTGGGACTTCTGGAGAGCATAATGCAAATATCTGAAAGGCTGTACTGGGGGTCTGTTTGTTGCTAATAATGTTTTATTAATCTGGGCTCAATGCCGATCCTATGGGACTTGAACTGACTTTTCATAAAGCCACTGAAATGTCTTTACCTCAGATGCAATTCTGGGAGATCTCACTAGCTCCAGTGCAGGGCCAGGTCTGAGCTGTCCCTGGGAATGTACTTGATCCTGTAATGCAGATCCCAGGTGAGGCACTCCTGAAATGCTGGGAAATGACAGAAATGAGCAGGTACTCCATTTTTGTCACATTGCCTGATTAATCTGGCTCATCATTTTGGCAATGGAAAACATCCTATATTCTGATGTGTTCGGAATTGCTCAGCATGTGAAACATTGGTCCAGGATAAACCTGTATGCAGGGAAGCTATAAGCTGGAAGCTTAGCTGACAGCCGTTCAAATGAGCTTTTGAATATTTTGCCATAAAAGGACAATCTCCCGTATCTTTCACTTGAAAAGGGTTGTTCTTTTGGTATTAGTCATTTGCTGTTCAGAAAGAGATATATGTTTAACTGCAGAGTTCCCTAGAAGTTTGTAAGTAGATACTGAATCTTTTCCTGCTTTCTGTGCAATTTGTCTTATATCGCTTTGTGTTTCTCAGCTGATTTTAAAGAATTGTATTGAGGAATGCAAGTTCCCTCGAGAACCAGATGCAATTTGTCGATATCAGCAATGCCATGGCCACTCCAAAATCCAAATATATTTTACAGACCCAGACTTTAAGGTAATTTTTTAGTTTAAAGGGGTTTGGGAAATAAAACTTCATGTTTACATGTTTTTTGCCCCCTTTCATATTAATGAGCTATGTGTAACACACAGTCTTATCCTATCTACTGTTAAGTTGTGCATTTTTTCCTGTGGGTTGGGTTTTTTTTTCTTAAAGATGTTAAATTCACGTTATTTCTCAATGTTAGGGTTTTATACGTATTACTTGCTGTCAACAATGTAGAGTGGAGTTTCATATCAGCTGTTGGAAAAAGCTGAAAACAACAAACTACAGTGATAAAAATGATAAGGTAAGAGCTGTGTCTGACAATAAGCATTTTACTTTTTTTAGTCAAGATTATAGCATTCCTTTGGTTTCTGGTAAGTGCAGTGCTACAGCCTGATGTTCCACCTGCATGACAGTGGCAGGAGGAGAGACAGGAAAGAGAAGTCTCTTGCTAAATTGTCTGACATGCAAGTGTGGGTGAAGCTTGCTGTTGTCTACAGTAGAAAGGCCTGTCGTGTGAAGGCTTAGTATGCTTAGCCTGTTTATCTTGCATCATTTATGTTCGCCAATATGGAAGTTTTATTGTGTCTACAGTCTTGCTGTTGAAGCAACAGTTCGACACTGAGCATGACTAAAGGAATTTTACAAAATACATTAGCAGCAGCCAGTGTACAATTAAGGGAGATCCAGGCAGAGTATGAACTCAAAAGAATATTCTTGAAGTTGACTCTTGAATGTGGAGTTGGAGGAGGAGGGGCTTAGCTTTGGGTATAACCGGTATATGCCACAGATGTAAGACCCTTTTGATTTGCAGTCCTTGCCAAGTCAGCTGTCACTTGCTTTCCTCATCCAGCAAGAGTTTAGGGCTGTGCTAGCTTTAATGACCTTTGTCAACCTCAAATGAAGAAATTGTAATCTGTATAGGAACATAGATTTTGTATTAATTTAAATGTCTTTTCTTGTGTGTATCATCTTCTCCTACAGGATTTTCTTCACGAATTGTGTTTTACTCCTGATTGTACAGGCCTTATTTCAAAAATAGTTATTTTCAGTTCTTCTGGGCTGGTAAAATGTGAAGTAAGTAAATGTTCATACAAAATATGAAAATAATCTTTAAAATATTTACTCTGGTAAAGGAGATAAAGTGAAGATGAGGATGTAACTGCAAATGAGTAAATAATATGCTATCTTAACTACAGAATCTGAGCATTATTTAGGAATATTAATTACCTCTTCTGTTCTTACCTGTTCTTCTGGTGGAGCAGGCATTACCTTATGGTATTGGTTTAGAATTGTCATGGGTGGGAACTGGAGCTTCATTTTATATTTAGTTTGTGTGACATGAAAGGAACTGTTAGTTTAACTCAGAGTTAATCTTTCTAAAGGAAATAATTGTATTGGAAGAGTGCTCTTACTCTCTACAGAGTCACAGGAAGATGGATATTTCTTCTCAGAGCAGTATTGGTCTGTGAGAAGCAAAAAAAAAAAAAAAAACCAAAACCCAACAAAAACCCCAAACAACTGTAAAGTTTGCTTCCTGCCCACTGGTAAAGCAAAACAGCCTCCAGTTCTTCCTGACTTTGTGTTACCTTTTAACCTGTCTTTTCTGCAGATGAAGAAGTATTGCTGTATACCAAGTTAGAGCAGTAGAAGATAATTCTAGGTAGACCTTCATGAGGCTTACGTAGGCTGTATTACCTCTTTTGTAGTATTACTTCTACTGCTTTCCAAAGCATCAAACATTCCTGGGTTTTGAGTACAGCAATGTTGCGTTGTAACCCAAATTTAATTAATATGATGTCACTTATTTTGGTAGTTCGAACAAAAAATCACAAAAACCAAGGAACCACCAAGAGCCAGTATTAAACAGAAATGTTCAAGGTAAGCTCTCTATTGTTTAAGTTGAATCAATTTGAGAACAAAACAGGATTGGTTTTCATGCCTTTTTAAGAGTTGCTAAAATACCACAAATACTTCGGAAAGCTATTCTTGCCCTTTGCCTCTGATAAACTAAAAAGTCTGATAAAATATATTATGATCCAGTTATAAAAGCATTTAAATTAACTTGTAAAACAAGATACGGAGCTACAGATTTATAACGAGCACAGGAGGGCATTAACTGGTATTGCTAAATAAATTATTGGTAGCTCTCTAGTGGTCATAAAGTTCTTGAAAAACAACATTTTCAGTTTGGCCACAGGAAACTGTTTTCAGATATACAGGATATGAGTTGATCCAAATCTGATTTCCTACACTTACGTATTGAGGGATAAATTGTCCATTACACCATTGACTTCCCGGCAGTTTGAACCAATAGTTTTTTAATATAAATTGCTGCAGTCATCTTTAAGTCTTTATACCCAAAACCTAATTTCATTGTGAAATCTGCAGGCAGGGAAGTAACATGTGGGAAAGTGTGATTTGGAGGCTGTGTGCAGAACTTGAGGACTGTTTCTTTACTTATGCTCTCCATACATGTCTTTCATTTGTGCTGAGATACTTAACAATTCGAATTCTAATAGAATGGGTGTCTGTTATTCTTCTTAATGGATTGAATGTCTTAATTACACTTGACTTTCACTGCATGTGTATCTAGATTAGAATACCACCTCTGTTTTCAGTCTGAGATTGCAAGCATTGTTCTATTCCTTCCCCTTGCTAGAGGGAAGAAACTCAGCAAGATTTTTAGCAACTTCGTGTGCAACACAACTTTGTGTGAATGTTTAGAAAGTGTAAATTAAAACTGTATGTAATGATACTACTTCTGTTGTTCATGCGCGTACCTTTGACATAACTGAGTTTACACTTTTTGGTCAAGTAAGTTTATAATTAATGAGGAATCATGCTGAGAGGATGAACAAAATTGATTTTTAAAAGTTAAGGAGATCAAATGTTACTATTTGGTTCAAAATGTTGAGTTATAAATTGAGAAAAAAACCTGATAATATTTAAGTTAATCCTAATTCAGACATCATTAATAGGAGTAAAAATTGCTGCATCTTAAGGATATTCTTACACTTACATACTTGATCTTCATAAAATGTCTATGAAATTTTGTGGTCTCTTAACTTCTAAATGAAAACTAGCTTTATTATATTTGTACGTCTAAGCATAATATTTTATAGTAGAATGGAGCTTATAGCTATTGTCAGACATGAAAAATAACTGAGATGTGCCTAACTCCTTTGGCAACTTATCTCGGCTAATGTTAGGCTCACTTCTTAATTGCTTTTTTCAGTCTGAGAAAGTTAAAAATGAAACAAGAAAAAAAATTGCGACGGAAACGTGCACGAGAAGAGGCACAGAATTCTGCTAAAAAGAAAATAGAAGAAAACCAGATGGAAAACAAACCATCTCAATACAGTCATCACAGTGGTATGTAGAAGTATAGATTATTGTTCTAAGTGATCACGAGGTAGCATAATTAGCATTCTGAATGTCCTAAGTCAAATTGTAGCAGAATACTAATATTAAGCATAGTCCCCCCCCCTTAAAGACTTGCATTTGTACTTAAGATCACTTTAATTTCAGTTCTGGTTTTTAATTGCTAAATAACTGTAAGATGTTAGTGTATGGTTAAGTTCCTTATAGAAAACCTTTATTGCTTCATTGGTTCATGAAGAAGCAGCCTGAAGAGGGCACAGGCTCAAATTTCAAGTTAATCTATTTAAAAGTGGTTTCAGAAAAAGCTTTATGCCCAGCAAGTTAGGACACTGCTACAGGAAAAAAAAACCAAACCTGCATCTCAAAGAAAGAACGCTATCCTAACTGCAGAAACTGCAGTGACTTGAAGTATATTTCAGAGGATTGGGGGAAATAAAATACTTCAGCCTGTAAGTATGTAGTCAGTTAATGCTTCAGCTTTTGTTGTTCCAGTTACAGAATGCTGTAGACCAACGTATTTGAGGTGTGAACCTTGCATTTTGTATTAGGGCAAGCTACAGTGAAAGAAAAATGGTGATTTTTTTTTTAAAGTTTTTGTCTGTATTATTAACTTCAAAATAGTGCTTATGTTAATTTCCTTGTAGAATTTCATATTAAATACTTTGAGGGCACTTTTTCATCCCATACATGCCATATGAGTTCTCCAGAACCCTGTTGCCTGTTCAGTGGCATATCCTGTCACTTTCTCTTTAAAAAGCTCACAGGTGCTAAGCTTTTTGGGGGGTTTTTTCTTAACCATTTTGTTTGAGAGCAGTCCCTCCCATTAGCACCGTAGATTACCATTTTTGCTTCCACATGGTATTCTAAAATCACATTCAGTTGACTTTTGTGTGGCATTTTTTTAAAGTCTAGGCTATCTCCTTTCCTGTGGCTTATCTTTAGTTCTGGTCCTTGCATCCACTGCAGGTCGCTCAGTTACATGTATGTGACTTGACTGTCCCAAATGCCCCTAAAACTTTGAAGAACTAAAAATGCCTTTGGTGTGACAAAAACACTCACCCTGAAGTACTGTGGGTAAAAGTTGGGACACTGATGCAGGAATATATCAACACCAAGCAACATAACACAGTTTGGCAAAAATCCGTGTGTTGGTGCTGGCCAACCTTTTTAATTTATCCTGAGTTAATTCCGTACTAAAATTGAAGTCTTGCATATCTTTGGAGACAAGCTATCTGTTACCCTATTTTTTTGCTTGGGGAAATTTTGTGAGGAAATCTTTCAAAAAATCATCTAATTTAATCTCCCAAGCTGTCTGAGAGGTTGAGAAGCCAATTTCAGGGGAGAGCTAGATCACAAAGGGGTTTTTTGTTTTGTTTTTAGCAGCCATAGCTACCTTTACAAGCAGATTTGTTCTTATTTAAATTGGAGAGGAGGGCAGGCGAAAGGCGCACTTGTTTGTATGCACATTTGTAAGATAGAGGTTTTTGATGCAGACTCCTGCAGGATTAAACTCAGGCATGGCTTATACCTGTAGAGTTCATTGAATCTGTTCGTATGCTTGGAACTGTTTAACAATGCATAATTATTCTAGGTGTGATATGTAGTGCTTTGTTTTTAAAAAATTATTTTCAGATCTACATCTTTTGACTATAGTTACTGTCAGTTAAGCTCTGAAAGTGGCATTCTATAAACGTGTGGTCTTGAAGAATAATGAAAGCTGAAGGCTGATACAAGCCAGTAATTTTTTTCACTCTTGTTCTATAAAGAACTAGTGGCAGGGTCAGGGCAAAGGTTTGCTACTAGGTGTATGCTCAAGCATTCAGAAGTGTGCCTTTGCTGTGGGAACTGATGTTTAGGGGAGTTCTGTCTCTGCATCAGGGCTGGCGTGCAGCCCACACAGATAAATCTGTATAGACAATTGCTTGAAGGTACTGTGACTGGCAGGTTTTTTTTTTTTTCCCTCTCTCTGAAATCTCATTAAGGTGCTAAGGATTGTTTCTTTGTGTAAACAAAAATTAAAACAATGTTGTATCAAATTCCTAATGCTAAGGCTAGTTTATATGGGAAGTTATATATTCTGTAATTTTCAGTGTTGTGATAAAGCAAATAATTAAAACCACTACTTAGTCCAAATTATCTGTACTTTAAAGTTGATGTTTTTAATTGTGGTAAACAGACATGAAATCTTGTTTTGTTTGGGTTTTTTTGAATCCTGTTATAGGTTATGTTCAGGATTTATATGCTGGTGATCGAGTCCTGCAGCATATCAGTCGAAATGCTGAGCAAATAAAAACAGCTGTTCGTGATGCTTCCAAACTATTAAAGGAATTACTTTCATGGTTTGTAATCAGTGAGGAGGATTACATGTCATATTGCAAAACTAGCAGCATGTCACATGAAGTGATGGAGCAACTCATCAGTTACTTAATTCAGGAAAAAAACAGAGTAAAAACAAGGGGTTTTATCCATGTGCTGAGTGAGCTGGAAGAAGTGGATCCCAAATTACACAAGTGGCTGAAACATCTTAACAACTTGGGTAGGCTATATGTTTATGTAATAGCAGAAGACCTTACCCTGTCATAACTGTTCAGTTTACAGATGAAAAGATAACCTCCCTATTTTCCAGTCTTGCTTTCTTAACTTTAAATGGTAAAGTAAAGCTTTCCTCTTTTTCATTTACTTGATCCTTAGCCAGGATTTCTACAGAAGAAAGGCTGACCATTGGTAGGTAACACAGGAGCAACCTCTCTTGTCTCTGCAAGTAAAGCATTCTAATGTGGGCAGGGCTTTGTCCATGTAGGAAAGAGAAAACTGAACAGATTTATTTTTTTAATGTCTTTAAGTTCTAGAATAGGCTTAAATGATAGTATCTGCATAAATAATAAGATGCCAGAACCTTGGACAAGATTTGCATTCTTAATTCTGTTCTGTTGCATCCATGTCCTTTAAGGAATTTATATAGATTCATTCTACAAATAATAATTTGGTGTTGACTAAGAGTCAAATTTATATAAACTCCATTTATAATTTTTGTTTGCATTTTCAAGATACAAAAGGTTTTACGCAATCTGTTTCAGCTGCTGTATAATTTCTAGAACAAACTGTTCCTCTTTGAAGGGGGATATCACACTGTAAGCACTAAAACTCTGGAGCCGGAATGAAATGTCTGGTTTATTTTCATCCCTCTTAGGTCTGACAGCTACAAAGAACTTTCTCCTTCAATATGGACATTTTTTAAAAGAACTTGACCTTTCTATTTTAACCACACTCTGGAATGAGAAGTATGGTAGTAAATTTGACTATGTGACAACTAGTTCTGAAGACAAAGAAATTCATGAATATTTCTTAAAACCACCCCTAGAGAAAACCCGTTGTTTTATATGGCTGTTGGAAGACAACAGAGGAAATTTTCCATCTCTTCATCAAGCTTTAGATGACTTCTTTGATAAAATGGGTAAGTATGCAAAGGTTATCATTCTTACAAGCACTGAATTTTGTCTGGTTTTACACCACATTTGATGGGCCTTGTAAAAGGCTGAAACTTCAGCAAACTAGTAACTGCCTCATATGGGATCATCTGCGTTCAGTGCCTGGAAGGCAATATGGCCTCAAAAGGCAAGCCACCCTTTTTTAGGTTACATTCTACTGGTTTGTTTCATGTGCCACAGCCAGCATGTGAGTTTACCTTTATGCATATATCTTGTCCAACCAAAATAAGTATTTATCTTTCAGTTTAAGCATAGAGATTCTGCAACTACAGTCTTTGAGATGCTTTGGTGGTATTTGATAAAGGATTATAATAATTGTTACTATAATTTCATAGCTCACAATTATAAGTTACATAAAATATTACTATTTCTGTTTACGGATGTGACTCTGATATCCTTCCAATAGATGACCCTACCATTATATTAAAGAAGCACGGAAATGAAAATATATCGGTAAGTGAACTTAATGCTTATTTCATGTAACCTCAGAAACAAGTATGAACGTGGTGTTTTAAAAATGTGCAAAAGTGAAGAGAGATGTGCATCTCTTGGTTTATTTTTACATCATCATCCTTTAGACCTGATTAGAGATTTACTTTTTTGTTTTATCTTCTCCCCCTGCCCCCTTTTCTTAAAGCATTTGAAGACTGCGTACCATTTTTCCTAAACTTCCATCAGTAAAATACTTTAGTGTTTTCTCTTTAGTTAAAACATAAATCAACAAGATACCTTTTAGATTATGAGTATTTCAAGGATGCAGATGAGGAGGTTGTAGTGGAAGTGGATTGAGGGTACACTGATGGGCCGTATCACCTCCTTTGGGTAGGGAAAATAAGGCAAATAAGGTGCACGGGAAGAGCATGTACATATTACTTGATAACAGCAGTTTGGTGTTAACTAAAAAAAGTCTCTCCAAAAGTATCATTGGGGAATTTTTTTTTAAAAAAAAAAAGTGCCTGATTTACAAACAGAGAGATTCTTACTAACTACTGTATCTGCGTATTTACCATGACAACTGAACTTGAAGCGTGATTCTTCCTTGAGTGTCGTAAACTTGGATCTGCATAATTTTGGACACTAATTGTACTGTACATTTTACAGTCCAAAGCAACAACTGGGAAAGTAGTGTAACCCGGCTTTACCTTCAGATGTCATTAAATTGTAAGGCTAGGAATTTGACGTTTGTTCCTCTAATAAGCGAAGTAAATTTGAAGTGGGTTAGACATATTTTGCATTTGTTCATTACAACTTATAGATGCTTTTCAGATTCGGCCCATAGGTCTTAAACTGTACATCATTCTGAATCACTTTTTGATTAGTATCTTAATTAAAATCCATTCTAAGTGGCAGAAGTATATTATATATTTGTTAATTATGTGTTTGAGGCACTCTCATTTAAAAGTACTCTAGCCTGCAGACAAATTTATCTGTACAAAACCAAGATTTACTTTTGATACAGAATAAATCTTTAGAGTTAATTAATTAATATACATCTTAATAAGATGTGAAATCCTTTACTTTTTCACTTCATGAATTGGAAATCCAAGAATGAAATTAAAGCCATTACAATAAAAGTACTTGTATTTCAGTGTTACTTGCATCCTAAAATAAATTGTTAATAAGTTACTGTTAGTAGAGTTCTGTTAATCTATAACCACAGTCCTATTAAGAAGTGAAGATGCATTTTAGTTCCTTCATCATTGCATATCTTTGAAAATTGAAGTGACCAGAACATTTGACGGTTCTGTTTGCTTCTTGTTCCCCAAAGGAAACTGTGTTGTGTAGGATGACACAGCTGCTGAAATAAGCAATTTCAGCTATAAGTAATGAGCATGCATCTGAAATACTAAAATGATAGAAAATTCTGTTTTTAAAAATCAATGTTTTATGCGTTTAAAGAGGAAAATGATGAAAAGGAACGAAATGGATCAAGTCTTGTAAAGCTCTGCTGCTTTTTGTGTTTTGCAGCTGGGGATGGAGTGGAGAGGGTGAAGATTGCATGCTTAAACTTGTAAATCTTGCTGGTCAAACCAGAATGAGAATTTTAATATGAAACTTGTTAAAATTTACATACTGGTTTTGCAAATACATCCTAATTTTATTCTAATGAAAAAAAGTGACTTTATTTTTCTGTTTCAGACTAATGGTATCAAAGTTAAAAACAAAAACAGGAAGAAGAACTCAAAAGACTCAAGGGTCAGTAACTTTTTAGCTGCTTACTATAAATAGTTTTTTTAGAATTGCTGGCATTCAGATGTATAGACGCTATTATCCTAAATACCTTGTGGAGACTCGTTCTTGAAGTAGTTTTTCCTGAAGTAAAATAATGCCATTAAGACTCAGTTAATAAGTTTTGCTGTGTTAGAATATGATTTTGTCAGTATAGAAGTTACTTATAAACTTGAAAAAAAAGTTATTTATGAGTAACTTAGGCTCTGATTCAGTACCAATACATTCAGTCCATCCACTGTCTTAAGATCAAAACAGTAATTCAGAATTAATTTCCCATATGGGAAAATGAAAAACCCACCTATGAATACAGTACACTGCCTGCACTATGTAATTAATACTTTATGCTCCATTTCCTTTTGCACTGACAGATAGCAAAGTTGGAGAAGGACACTTTACCAGTCATTTTGAGAAAGAAAAATGTGTCCTTACACCTCATGAAATAGGTCTGAAATTGTCTCTTAACTGTCTTCTCTGATAATTTTTACAGGCATATCAGTGACTGAATATGCAAGTGTTCCATTTATTGCTCAGAAAAATGTTATCAGTTGTTCAGTATTTTATAAATTTTGCTAGGAATAATATACTACCTGAAACTTGTACTGTCTTTTGTACAGCTTTTCTAGGATTTTGCTGTATTGAAAGCTTCAGATACAATCTTTGTTTCCTCCATGCCCCTACCTTTTTGTAATTTTACTAGAATTTCAAGAGTAAACTTAAGATCTTTTTTCCTATTCTCATCAGCCACATTTTTCTTTTTCTGACTTGGATGCATTTATACAAGTCTGTGTATATCTGAAGTTATTAGATAATAAAAATTAAAAGACAACTAAAACATTTGTAATGGTGAACATAAGAATAACAGGTATCATATGAAAGCCATGTGTAACTAGGGATAACTCAGACTTACTTGTAGTAAAATTATTAAAGCTTGAAGGCTCTCAAATATAAAGGAAGAGATTCCTAGAAAGTCAGTGGAAAGAAGTTGCACAAAAGTCTTACCAAAGTGAAGCTGTAGTGTTGTTTGGTTTTTTTTTAATCCAAACTCAGTGAAAAATCAGACACATCTAGGGTTTTGATGAAATTGGTAAAAAAAGAGGGAGGTTGGGCTGAATATCCCAATTTCTTTTTCCAAAATAAATTCTGAAGAAGAAATTAATAGTTTAAAATTAAGAACTTTCTCTGTGGCTTAGTACTGACAATTGTACTTAAAAGTTTTGCAGTTCATAATATGGCATCTGAACATGATAAAGTTACAAGCTTCAGTGTAAATAAATTACTAGTAGTCTTTACAGTGGATCATTTTGCATATACTTTTGTGAGATAAAAAAATAATAATCTGTTTTTAATTAGTCTATTTTAGTATTATCCAGTGGAGTTAGTACAGCACCACGAGAAGATGATAAGATATTTATAGAAGAAAATACGTTGTAAGTACCATCATACATCTTTGCTCTTATTGCCCAAACTCCAAAGTGCTTTGCAGGTACTGGAGAAGACAGTCTTAGAAACACCAAGTCTGGGTTAACATCTAAGTGTTTTTGATATGAGCTTGTGCAGAGCCATTACGTCCCTGCTTCCAGGACAGGTGTAAGGGGTACTAGAATTTTAGAGATCTTAACAATGGAGGAAGTAACCAAGTTGTTGCCAGGCTGCAGCCCAATACATCCAAAAGCTATCCTTTTAAGTAACATCTTACTTGCTTCGTGTTCCATTTTAATGTAGCAAGACGTTGATAAATTTGTACGTACTCCATCAGTCGCAACTGAATTTTGCCATCCACACCATATCAAGCAGGTTGTGATGTTGGATTGAGATAATCTGTGGTGCATTGCTCAGAATTTGTGTGTTAATTGGGAGTCGCTCTTGTATTCTGAGCCCAGTTTTGCTCTTGCTTATGGATGTGAAAGCTGCTAGGCAAGAGCTAGGCCTTATTATTATTATAAGCTAGTGGCAGGTCAGTTAATAAGTTTAATGGTTAAGTATGTTGGGGATAAGTATTTATTCTGCTTGTTAGGAAAAAGTTTGCTATTGGGGTATATTTTTAGCACTAGGTAGTTATCATACAGTATACTGTTTTCAATATGTGTGAAAAATACAATTATTTTTAGAGACAAGAATTATTGTTCATATGCATTATTTATTTCTTCTCTCTCTCTCTCTTTTTTTTTTTTTTTTTTTTTTTAAAATGCTACAGAGATTTTACAAATTCTTATGAACCATTTGTAATCCCAGAATATCTTCGGGCACAACTAGAGGAATTTGAAGCTCTCTGTGACATTTCAAATAGTAACAGTTATGAAGGAGTTTTGGATAGTAATCCAGATCAAACCTGTGAGAGCTTGTACGAGTATGTATACATTTGTGTGCTTAGCAGTTTAAAGGGTTTAATACTACTTCATAACTTTTATAACATATTGTATTAAGTCCCAGAATTTGAGTCTTGGTGGTCTGGTGTATGTAGGTATGTACATAAAGGTATGTCCTAATGCTTTGAAGTAATTGCATGTTTTTTAGTAAGACATAGGCAAGAAAGAGTATTACAGAAAATTTTTATGCTTAGCTAGAACACCATCTTCCAAATGACCGTTCTTCAGTAGTTCTAGAGGTTCTTTGCTTTTAAGTATTATTGTGAAAATAGAATGTGTGAAATACAATTTTAGAATTGCATGAAAAAACTTTCATTAATAATGACAACTGGGGTTTTTTTGGTTTGTTTTTTTGGTTTTTTTAAGCTACTTCTCTCAAATCTTGGACAAACATGGCCCTATGGAAATTAATAATAAATTACTAGTTGGGGAATACGAACATTTCCCTGAAGAAGCTCGAAAGATGGTAGAAGATGAAGGTGGTCTGAAATCTTTTCTTCTGAAATCCCTTCGTTTCATTATGGTGGATAATCTTATTGCCTTAAGAAAGCATGCAGTTCTTCTTAAAGAAAGTACAAACAGAAATGAGACTGGAGATAATGAAGAAGAGAACGGTATAGTCTGTGATATGCAAGAAAATTCTTCCCGGAACAAGCTACAGTTAAATCCAGCTGCTGAGGAATTCAGACCGCTGTCTTATCCTAAGCAACCCCTTATATCAACATCTACTGACTTAACAGTAGCAAGTTATGAGACTCCACAATATTCGCCCTGGTCTTTTCCTACTTCACGTAAATCAATGCATTCTTTGCATCATCAGAATATTGATACCATAGAACATGAGTCGTTGTATTCAGATATTTTACTAAAGTGCTTTGATTCTAAACATTCTGGTATATTTTTGCCTCAGACTTCCTGGGGTTATCAATATGGAAGAATATTGCCAGTGCCTTCTCAAATGCCTCTTATTGCAAACGATGCTGAGCAGCCTAGTTATGCTGATCATGCAGCTCATCAGGATAATGATGAATCAGCAATTTCAGACAGCAAATATGTCTTTAGCAGTTTTATACCAACTGAAATACAAATGTATGAAGACCCTCAGTGCCAACTGGAGAAAGCGGATAAGACATTTTATGAAGACAATTTTGCTGTTGCAAATAGTACAAATGAAGCTGAATGTGGTACACAGGTTATTAAGACGGAAAAAGAAAGCAGAGGTATACCTCTAATGAAAAACAATCCTCATACAAGGATGGTAGCTGTTCAGGTAAGAAATTAAAATGCAACAGTTATTTTGAGAGCTTTTAAGTGAGAAATGACAGTGTTGAGCACTGGAAAGTGCAACTCCTTTTTGAATGATTTCTTTATGACTTGCCAAAGGGTCAAATGTTGTATAGAGTTTCAAGAGCAAATATTCAAGTCATACTTCCAGCCACCCAAATGTAAGGGATCTTAAAAGTAGTATTTAGCATTCTCTAGTACTTATGTCCCCAAAAAGGTCACAAGTTGGAAGATATTGAGGTGTTTATCAGACTGGGAACTTCAGTTTAAGTTGCTGATACTTTCTACAACTACTCTTGTCTTTCATTTGTAATTCTTTAAAGAGATGGTCACTGAATTTTGTTCTGCCTGAAATTTTCACAGATCTTTTGACCCAGGATCAAAGGAGGGAACTGGTGCACATCAGTTTAAACTTTGCTTTAGAGGTTAAGGAAAGTCCTTCTGTGTCATTATTTTTCTTTCTGTAATGAGTTCAGTGATTGAACTTTCACAATATTTGAGTATTTAGATCGTTTGTACATTCTGACAATTGCTGGCTGATGCTTCCCTTGTGGTCATACAGTGGCAGCCCAGCTGTAGGTTGAGTTCAGGGGGCAAACTCGCTCACATTTCCTTTTCCCTCCTGAAGTTAAAAAAACCTGAAAATTTTGTCCTACAGGCAGAGAAAGCGTTGCCGAACCCCCCAAAAGGGGCAAGGCGTGCAAGTGAACAGAAGAGGGCTGGAGTGTTCACTCTTTAATGGTACCCCAGAGTTAGATCAGCCTACACCACTTACGAAAACACACTTCAAGTAACAGAGGGAGACAATGGTCACATCCACATTTGTTACAGAAAACGTTTTGGATTAAGATGCCAGGTTTTCAGAGTTACGGACATGGCAGTTTCACACATCCATTTATGAGAGTTTATCCAACATGCTAGAGGGACTGCTGGGGATGAGTTCCTCATCTTCATTTGTTTCTTGTCATTAAGGGAGGAATAGCTGTTTATAGCTGTAAGATAAATAGTTGTCCTGTTATTACTGCTTTCTAAATTAGGAAAATGTTAATGTGCTTTTTTCAAACTTGTTTTGTATGCAAAACTTTTCTTCACTTTCAGTCTTTCCTGAGCAGTTGCTGAAAGTTAGTTTCCCATCAGTCTTGGTGGATGAATTTCATCACTTGGCTGACTGGGCTTTTAAAATGAGATTTCTGTTTGGTTTGGAACACATGCAACAAAGAGATAACAGAAGAGGCAACAGTTTTGAATTTAGTGAATTCTGGTTAGCAGAGATCAAAAGAGCGCTAGGCAACAGCGCTTGTTGTTTGTGTTTGCAAAAGTGTGGTAGGGCAAGGCATGTAACATTATCTGACTGTGATTTTTAATAGCCTATTAGAATGGCAGCATCATCAGCTGGATCTTTAATATGTTGCATGAACAGATTTTAAACTTCAGTTCTTTCAGTAAGTCTTTGATGGGTGGTATTAGAGGAAAACAAGCAGGGACTCTGAAGGTCATTAAGTCTAGTCCCTTCTAAGTAGAGGCACTTATGTAGTAGATCTTGAGTTTGGGGCCACAAAACAGCTCCTCAGCGAGCTGTCAGACACTGTTTTTGCAAGTCTTAAGTTTTCAGACATTTAGAGCACAGCTGTGTTTAAAGACTCTGAGAACTGTTCTTAATATAAATGCTTCATGGTCAATTAAACTAGGAGACAAAAAAAAGTGCTTTCATTAAAGATTGAAGTCCATTTCAGAAATGCTTGGATAATTTCTTTTTACATTGTAGATAGACCTACTTCATAATGTAGTTGGATTTGTAAAATTGTAGGTTAGCTACAAAGGCTCCAAAGCAGAGCTGACCTACTAGTTCCATGTATAAACTGGAAAGCTTTTTAATCAACTGATGATTCTTTGTGTTCTAGGTAAATTGTGAAGTAACTGATAGGGAAACTAATACCCTGCCTTTTCAACCGTTTGAAATGCAACAAGTAAGTTACCTGCATATTTGTATTTCTTATGAAGAAGGTTAAAGGAATGCCCAAAAATTTCGCAGTGAAAAGATAAAGGTTCTCTGAAAATGACATGTTTTAACAGGAATTTTTTGTTTTGGTTGGTTTTGTAGTGTGTGTGTGTTTTGTGGTTTAGGTGGTTTTTTGGGGTTTTGGGGGGGGGATTCCCCCCCCATACTGTCCTGTATTCTGTGATGTTGTTCTTGGAAACTTCATGTAAGCCCACAACAAGGAGGTTTTGGAACTTTGTTCTGTAGCTATTCAGATGTTGGAGTATGTTATAGGGAAATTTAGTATTTTCTCTCCAAAAATCTTGGGGTTTGATTTAAATACTCCATTTGGGCGTATAGACAGCTCAGACTGAGGTTAATGGTAGTCTTATGTCATGGTTTAACCTGTCAGCAACTAAGCACCACACAGCTGCTTGCTCACCCTCCCCACCCCCCAGCCGGTAGGATGGAGGAGAGAATCTGGAGTCAAAAAAACAAATTAAAACCTGTAGGTTGAGATAAAGACAGTTTAGTAGGACAGTAGAGGCAGAGAAAATAAGAATATTAATAATGATAAAAGAATACACAAAGCAATTGATGCGCAATGCAATTGCTGACCACACACTGACTGACGCCCAGCCAGTCCCTGAGCAGCGATCGCTGCCCCCCGGCCAACTCCCCCCAGTTTCTATACTGAGCGTGATGTCGCATGGTATGGAATAGCCCCTTGGCCAGTTTGGGTCAGCTGTCCTGGCTGTGCCCCCTCCCAGCTTCTTCTGCACCTGGCAGAGCATGGGAAGCTGAAAAGTCCTTGACTCGTGTAAGCACTGCTTAGCAACAACTAAACCATCAGTGTGTTATCAGCATTTTTCTCCTACTAAACCCAAAACACAGCACTATGCCAGCTACTAGGAAGAAAATTAACTCTATCCCAGCCGAAACCAGGGCATGTCTGTACAAGAAGATAAAAGCGAGAAAACATGGCCTTTGAACTCATCGTATTCCATTCATGGTCAGACATGAATGTTCATTTCCTGAGCTGGATTGAACCTGTTATACAACTTTCCCTTAAACACCCCCCCACCCCCAAACCAGCCAACCAACAAACAAACAAAAACCCCACCCTGACCACACTCAAGATTTTGCATCGCAACTGACAGCAGACTGTTCCTTTAGATGTCATGAATGTTTGCTGCCCTGTGGTAACAGATACTAGATTGTTTTTTGTAACTGATTTATTTTCAGGGAGATATTCTACGTGTGGAAAAAGAGCATCAGGTATTAAAAGAACAACTTAAAGAAGCACAGGAAAAATATGAACAGTTAGAAAGTCGAAGCTCGGAGGAAATCAGTGCTTTAGAAGAGCTTCTGAAAAAAAGTGTTGAAGAGACTGAGGTAATGTTTTTATCCATGCAACAGTGGGACAAACTGCAGTGGCTCACAAGATTGGTTGTAATTGATGAACAGTATTTTTGAAACTTGAATGGTAGTCGTCATTGCTGTGCAGTCTAACTCAGCAAACCTCACAATCTTTGTGTGTCATCTTCATTTGAACACACTTAAACACGTAGGATATTGGTTGCCTCCATCTAGTGCATAGGTGTTGGGTTTCATTCAACCCAAGAACAAAAAAGCACTACACTTGCTGACTCTTTCCTCCTCCTTTATTTGTTGGGTTTGCTAACAGGCTTTATTTCCATGAAAATGCCTGGGAGGAGTAGTCCCCAAACAACACTATCAGCCTATTATCACTCTGACTTGATTACTTTTATAGTTAAAGCTGTATGTAGATGCTGCAGGCTACTCATTTGTCTACATGAAAAGGAATTTTTCCATTTAAACAAAAAATAATTCAAGTGAGACCAAAGCCATGTCTTACCATGCCCTCTCTTTAATCTTTAGTAAGATGGGGCTTGTCATTCAATCTCAGTTTAATATATTTTTTTTCCTTTTAGTGATGTGTTGGAGTAAACTCATGTGCTGCAGCTTGGGAGCTCCTGAGTTCTAGCTTTACCCTGGCAAACTTTAATATGAGGATGATGGAGTCTTGCATCTGTTTTTCTGTGTGAATATTTGGTAAAAATGTGAGCTCAGAAAGTTTTGAGCTGAAAGTGTGGCTGTATGCAGGGTGGATGAACTTGTCCACAGGCATTGTAGTCACTTATTTTTAAAAATACTGTCTTTTATTTCCCAGTGATGCATTAATGCTACTTTGGGTTTTTTAAGCAGTTAATGGCAGCCATACGATTCACTGCTGCCTTGCTCTGTTATGACTTGTAACTTGCCAGCTGTTAGTACTGAAACAGCAGTATCAGTACTGATTTTGAGCTGGATTTCAGCATGTATTTGTACGTGACACTGTGGAACTGGATTTCTTCTTTCATCTGACTGCAAAACAGGGTTGCAAGTATTCTGAAGCCGTGTAAATGAGGTGTGCAGATCATTGCAGGAAAGCATTTATGATATGTTGCCCACGCTAAACACCTGAACTAGCAGTAAATTTAAGCACTAGTAAAACTCTGTTACTGTAATTTTCACTGGCTTAGCTTCTGCTCTAACTTGCATTTGAATAAGATAGTGTTTTCAGAAAGAATGTTTTCTTATTTTCTGTTTTTAGGTATCAAAGAATGAACTGGATTGGCTTCATCAAGACTTAGAAATAAAAGTGAAAAAATGGCAACAGGAGAAAAAAGAAAATCAAGAGAATTTAAAAGCACTAAGGAACACAGCTAAAAAGCAAACGGAGAGCAATGATAGGTACTAATTTTATATACAGGTTTACCTTGCTTTGCCTTTGCTTGATTTTTTTTTTTTTTAAAGCAGCAGTAGGTACAGTTATTTCTGATAGACTATGATAAGTTTCACTATCTACTGATCCCATGGTGTATGTTGCCCTGATTATGTCATTCTGAAATGAGTTAAATGCAATTCTTGGTTTAGAGCTGCCGTTAATCGGATCTCCATACAGCGTTATTTAACTTAATTAATAAATACTACTCCTTCATTTAAGATTTTCCTACGTTTTCCAGAATCCTTTAGATCTGCACTGCTTTTTCACTTTTCTCCTTTATGACTTACTATTGCTTCCTCAGCATGCTCCTCTGCTGCACTATATGATTAGCTTTAAATTTTCATTTCCATTTTCATTCTTCCTTCTTCTGTCATACAATCAACCCAACCAAACTCTGGTCTGCATCTGTTTTTCTTACAAGCTTTTTGTCTGTTCTGCCACATAAGCCTATCTGAGGATCATCCAAGGATGCAGGTTTCCTTCTTTTCTAGTCCTATCAATCATTTCTCACATACAAGTAAAACTGCAAGAACCACATAACTGCATGTGTCTGTTGTGGGGGTGTTTTATCCATCTTTCACCTTAAAACAGAAATCTGCAGGGCTTTCCATGGAACTTAAATCAGTAATACCAATGTATGAATCCCATCATGATACTGTGTGCAGCAAACCCAGCTGTTCCCCTGGCAATCAGCTCGCTCTCTTCAGTGAACTTCTGCCATCGCCAACAGGCATCCACGAGATCACGTCACTGACGTACTGAAAATTAAATAGTGTGTCATTCGATGAAGTATTATCAGTAGCTTTTGCTGAAACATTCTAAACACTTCAGAAATCTTTAAGTAACCTAATTGTTGGCTGTGTAACCAGCTAGATATTTTATCACAGTAATAGGCTGAAATACGTACATGTCTGGTTTTGTATCTTGATTTTTTTTCTTTCTTTTAAAATTACAGGTAAACATTTAAAATAGCTTCTAGGTAACTGATGAAAATGACCGACTTAACAATAACTTTTTTAATCAGATTTGACAATTCCTACTGTATTTTTAGTGTTTTCTCTCAGTTTACAGACCCAAGAAGACTTCTGTCCTTGAATGCTGTTGTATTATCTTTAGTCTGAGTAGTTTGGGCCAAATCTCTCTTGAAAAATCATTGATCTGCTTTTGTATTAGTTACTGCTTGATTAGGAATACATTTCATAGAATCATAGAATCTTTTAGGTTGGGAAAGACCTTTAAGATCATCCAGTCCAACCATTAACCTAACACTACCATGTCCACCACTAAACCAGTTAAGGGTAGAGTAATAATTTTATGTTTCCTGGCCTGATGGCTGCATTATTTTTTAATGAAAGTAAAAACTAGGAATCATTAAGATTGGAAGGAATCTGTAAGATCATCAGTCCAACCATCAACCCAACACCACCATGCCCACTAAACCATGTCCCAAAGTGCCACATCTACCCGTTTTTTGAACACTTCCAGGGATGGTGACTCCACCACCTCTCTGGGCAGCCTGTTCCAATGCTTGACTAATTTAAATGCACTTATAGTATTAAACAGCATATAAAACATAGATTGTCACTGCTGCATAATTGTCACTATCGTTATAGAGGAACGTGTCACGTATTTGCTTGTGAAAATTTTTCAGAACAAGCTTATTAAATGTTTGATTACTCTAGGTATTCAAAGACCATTGATGAGAAGGAAAAGCAGCATAACATATGTTTAAATACATATCTCGATACCAGGTAAAACTCTTCTACCTTCAGCAGTTATTTACGTTTTTCTACTGTTTTGTTGTTAATTGGAGTTGTCTGCTTCGCTCTGGGTGAAGGCTTAGAAAAAATAAGCACTTTAGATATTTAGAATAATAAAAGTCTGGGTTTTCAAAATGCTCTCATACATTTCCCTTGATTATATGCTACTGTGTCCTAGAACACGCATTAGAAGCTGGGTGTGGTACAGATGTACTGAACTATTTACGTAGCTTTGGATCTTCACATGCTTATAGTCCTAAATGTATATAAGGTTACCTAAATATTTTCTAAAAGTTACTAGTTTGCACATAGTATAAAGTCAAGGTTTCATTTATAGATACATTCTTTATATATGTGATTAGGCTCAGAACAATGATACTTGCATGACTGCAGTAGTCAAACTCCTATAAGCTTTTTAGGTTGCACAGTGAAATGTGGTGAAGAAACCCCAAAGTCGTGTCCGTGGAGCCAGCAGTATGGCTACACGAGCGTGGTACTATGCCTGAAGGCACAAGCTGTACAATGTAAATGGAGATGCCTGGTTCTGGAGAAGTAATAGCTGTAGAAAACCTCTAAAATGCCATAAATTTTAAATATTACTCTGTTGTAAATGTTACTCAAATATTTAACTTCTTTTTATTTCACAGTAATAAATTTGCTAATGAGAAAGTAAAATTGGAAGAGCTTATAAAAAAGAGTCAAGATGACTGCCGAGAGTGTGTGAAAAGAGCTGTTAAAGCAGAGGTACAAACAAAAAAATCTTAAAACCTTTTGCTAGAGCTTGGATCATTTGCGCTGATAATAGGTGGGGAAGGTAACTGGTGAGGTCTTATCTAACAGTGTACTTTTTAAATGGCATCTAAAGCTTCTCGTAAGCATGTATCAAAAGTGTTAATCAAATATTGGCAAGTGCTGATCATGATGTTGTCCTACAAAACTTTGCAGATAATCAAGGCACGTTATTATTGACCGGTATTAAGAATGCACAGAATTTGGGGCATATAGTATTGCACCAAACAAAATTCAACTAGTAATTCAGCTTCATAATTATCCTTGCTATGAATAGATTCCATTAGTAAGAATTAACTATAGGAACATAAAAAATTCCTTGTTAAAAGTAAGTCATGGTTAGTGAATATATACTTTATCAGGTAGAATCAGAATGCAAAAACAGACTTGTGTGTTTCACTGAAAGGAGGAGAGTACTGATACATATCAAGATTTTTTTTCTAAAACAGTATGTTTTATACTGGAAATGCTTAGAATATCATGAACAATTCTCCCTTCTTAAGAAGGGCTTGAAGACTGTGTTCAGTAGGCTTCTGCAGTAGGATTTTATAAAAAGATTAGATCGTTGGTCCATGGTCTTCAACCATGCAGTATTTAAAAGGCTGCCTTAATCACTTAAAGTAAGTGTGTGTGTATATATATATTTTTACATATATATAGGATAAGTTTCAAATGGAACATTTATGGAAGCTTTCCACTATCAGTTGAAGTGAATGTAGCCTTTTTATCCTCCCAAAGGCCTCCCAGGGCTGTTAATTCCACTTGAAATTCCTCACCGTAGGAACTGTGTGTGTGTTGTACTCTGTATCATCAAACTATTGTTTCAGATGCTTACTAAAATCTATTTTGAGGTTTTATTCCTTGTGTTAACAGCAGTGCTTTTACTGCACTTCTGTTTTTTTATGCAGTTATGTTTTGTTACAGATATCAGTACTCAACAACTGGAAGGAAACTGAAGTATGCAAGCTAAATGGTGTAGCTGCCAATGCAGAAGCAAATCTCAAGGTGTTGAAGTCACTGAGCAGGTATGGAGAGTTTACACCAGAAATTTCAGTACTATTAGTTGCTAAGTACGAGTAACTACTGAGTGTTTAATCACGATCATTTAACTAGACAAGTCAGTTTTGCTCACAAAGGGGTGCTAGCCAAAAGGTGTGTAGAATGCAGCTTTCCTGAAGCTGAGTTTCTTCTTAGTCTTAAATTACCAAGATGTGTGATACTTCTTGTCTTACTCTTTCTTCGCTGGGGAAGATCAGGCCACTGGGAACATTCCAGTTATTCCTGCACAGTGTCACTGGGAAAGGGCTGCAATGTAAATAGAAGAGAGCGCAAACAAAACTGCTGGGCGTGCAACAACAGCGCTTGTTCCTTACAAGGAACTAATTTCGCCCTTGGCGTTACCCTTTTTTAAAACTTACGCCATGTTCCCTTTCCCTGTTTTTATGTTGCCACAAAATACTAACTTACATTTGAGGAGTCTACTTCTAAGATTGGATAGGATCAAGTACCAGTAATTTAACTGATTTCAACTTAAAATTGCTTGAAGTCTTCAACTGTGATTTAGTTGGTAGGGGGGAAAAAGTTGTACTATAAAACCATTGGTCTTAAGCAAAAATAATGGGAATGTTGGAGTTTAACTGAAAATCTTGAATACTTCAGCAGCTCAGCTTCAGCAGCACCTAAGTTGAAGTCACAGATTGATTCTTGGGAAATATTTATTTCAAATGTAAAGAAACAACTGGAAAAAGTAGAGGTAAGCTTTAATTTCTCTTAACACGCTTTAAGTTGAACTTTGGAAATTAAAACAGAATAAATACCTTAAATAATTTTGTATTCCTTTTTTAAAACACCAGTAGCTTGTCCTCCAAATACTGAACTGCATTTTTTTTTTTTTACTTACAAAAGAAAGGTACCGTTTTAAGTCCAGATTATTTAAGTATAGTTAAGTTACAATGAGTATCTTCAATTTTATAAAGGCAAAAATCCGTCCTGTATACACTTGCCTCAAAATTGGATCCCACATTAATAAGTCTAGTCTCTGTGTTCTTTTGTATTTTTTGAACTTTAGAAATTCATTCCACTTCTTTAAAAACAACAGAAAATTCTCTATGAAAAGTTAAGACTTAAAATGCCTAGGCTGAGTTTGAAGAGCTGGAAGGGGTTTCCCAAGCCCGTTCAAGCATCAATGCAAGTACTTAAATACAGATTTATGTTACTATAGCAAATGGTAGCCTTATGTCTCCATTTGAAAGGCCTGGTATCTTTGGTGTTTTGCAAAAAAGTAGTTGTGTTAATGCCATTTTAAATAAAGAGCGAGCTTTAGTTAATGCTAACGTGGAGGATAATTTGTCCTTCTGCAGGCTGAGTATGAAGAAAAAATCCAGATGGTGAAAAATGGTGCACGGAACTGCCTCACTAAGATGGAAACTGTGGAGCTTTCTTCTCCTCCCAGCATCTTTGTATGTATCTTACATTTGATAGCGGTTTGTTAAGTTCTTTAAGTTTGCATCTGTATGGCTATTTTGCATATGTACATGGACATGTACATAAAGAACTTGAATATATAGTCTTGAATACAAAATAATCTGGCTCTCCATACGTCCAGGTAATGTTCAAAAGGAAAAGGTGACTGCAGATTAGCATGTTGAAGGACGTTCTCAAGTCCTTCGAGAGGCTGAAGCTGTTTAAAGTTAACTTTAAAATGCCTCATGTTCTGTCTGAATTGGGACTAATACTTCTGCATATCATGACTTTCCTGTAGCACCAAAATCCACAGGGACGAGGCCCTGTTACACCAACATGTGCAACTGATTATGAATACCAAAATCTACTTCCCAGTCATATCTGTTATGAAATAGATCGAGTATAGCCATTTATGGAAATGCATCTGTAGTGACTGTGTCCCAGATAAATACTATTTAAAAGCATTTTCTCATGGGCCAACAGTTCCACAAACGCTTTGCTCAAATCATGTCAGTTACTTGCGAACCCTGCGATTGTTCCTGGTGCAAGGACGAAGTCAATGCTCCTTGAACTGTTCATCAGCACGATGGTGGGGAGAGAAATGACAGCGGTAAAATACTTACAGCCAAGCTAGCTGCAGCAGCGGTGCAAACAGCCTACGTGCTGCCATTCACTGACGGTAAAATTGAAACCAGGGCACAGAGGTGATGCCCAGTCCTGAAGGCCAGTAGCATTCAGGAACCACTGGTCCTGGGACAGTTTGGAGTAAGGAAAAAAGGGTTCAGTCTTCTCTCAAAATAGGGGAGACAATTGACTCAGTAAGTAAAATGCATTCATAGTACACACACATGTGAAATCCCTGAATTCATTGAAGATGCCACAGAACTTTTTTTTAATGTGTATTCTCTGCAGAAAGTCATGTTTTTTCTTTTGGTTTTGGTATAATTTAGATTCAAGGCTTTGTTCTAATACTGTATATTTATGATTGTTACTACAGTTTTTCTGGACTTGCATAAGTAATAGTTACACTTATGCTCTCCTGCATACCTTTTCTTCCCCACTTGTTTCTAGGTATCTCCTTTCTACTTATTGGCACAGAACTCTAAAGAATATGTAGATAATTTGGTTACCATCCTTAGGTTACCATCAATTTACAGGTTGGGAAAGAGCAACTTCTGAGCCTCTTGTTCTGCATTTGGTATCTATTTTTACTGCAGTAATACAGGAGTAAGCTTTCAGAATAGAGATCTATAATTCTTTCAGCTTTAACAGGACTTGAATAGGCAAATACCGAATCCAAACAAAAAAGACTTAATGAAAACCCTTTTTCTCCGGAGCTGTTTAATTAATTCTGTTAATTAATTGAACACCTTTACGGGGAAGGTAAAATACCACTTCAAAAAGGCGGTAAACTAAAGAACACAGAACGAGAACCAGCAGGTTTGACTACGAAGAAGTGTAGAATTTTAGTTCTCTGTGTTAGAAAGCCACCTTCCTAGAGCAGTCAAATTCTGAAACAAATAGCAGTCATGGGGTCAGACAACTAAACTTATTTGAAGGAGTTCTTTCCATTTATGGAAGAGAGTCATTAGTGCAAAAAGAAGTCTCTCTGGATCATGTCAGCTCCAAGTTTTTCAAGATGATGACTACAGCTGACGTGTTTCTGTTTATATAATCCAGTGTAATTTTTTTGATAGATGATATAATCCTTTTCAGATTGATGGCACTTCTTTAAAGCAGTTCTGTTTCTACTACCAACTTGAAGCTATACTTCTGTACAACTTGCAGCTGTCCACCAGCCGTGCATTCTTTAGCAAAGCAAGAAAAAGTTAAGGGAACGGTTTGCATCTGTGCCATCCTATTTAATCCTGCTTCAGACAGGTTGTCTGTATGTAGTACCTATTAAAGAGCAACTTTGTGCAATACTTTTACCTAGGTAAAGCAAGTTAAGATAAAGTGATGTGACCTTCCAGTTCCTTAGCATGACCAAATGTGTCACAGTTCATGCTGCAAATGCTCAAGAGTTCTGCTCAACTTATTTTAATGGCTATTTTTCCTGTGAAATCTGTTTGTTTCCTAGGCAAAACAAGGTAGACCTCCAGTCGGTGATCCAGCCATTGTCGTGTATTCTTCTGCATCTGCACATCCTAGTTTACTTCCTGCAATTTCAAGTTCTGAAGATCAAGGTCCAACACACACTTCGCTTAAGACACAGGCTGGAGTTAAGCCAGCATATGTGAATCCTAAGGCTTGTTCTGCAAGTGGCGGATCAGTGAGAACACACTCCAAACCTCTGGAAGTATCATATTCTGATAAAGTGTCGGCAACTTGCCCATCAGGGATGTCTGGAAGCAATACTCAGCATGTCCAGCCAAACCAGAGCCACCAAGATGACTCAGCTACGCAACTGAGGCCTTCTGGACTTGCAAGCAAAAAAATGCTTCCAAAAGCATTTGAAAAAATTATTGTGCATCTACAGAGTATATTCCCAAACTATAGCAGGTATTTGTTTTAACGAGTATAATGTTACGCTGAGTAACAGAAGTTCTGATTAAAGGACAAAAAGAATCGATTTCTTAGTCGATGGCTTCTACTTCATGGGAACAGTAATATTAGTTGTTACCTTCCCTCCCTCTCTGCCTCCTTCCCATTCAGCGAGACATTCCTTAAGGGAACAGACCTATGGCATTGGCTTAGGTGTTTTGGGGTTTTTTTTCCCCCAATTAGAACTACTAACAAATAGAAGTATTATTATTTTATTGTTTGGGGGTTTTTACGATTAAGGTAGATCGTAGTTATTGAGAGGTATTGGAAGCAGGTACTCACTACAGTTCACTTGAAAAGTTAGTATCTTTTAAAGGCTCTGCTGCTCCGAATCAAACATGGAAGCTACAGTGTTCTCTAACTAATGCTGTGACTATGCGGATAACAGCTATAGTATGGCCAATCAGTAATTATGTCTTTTTTTTTTTTTTTTTTTTTTTTTTTGGTCCCTTCAGTTCAGACTTTACTAGCTTCATAAAAGATGTACAAAGGAGAAATGGGAATACATTGTCAGGTTTGAGCTTCGATGAAATTCTAAGCAGAGTGACAGAACTCATTCTGGACCAGCAAAATAAGGTACTGTGGTGTATGTTAGTATGCCTTTTCTACTGTGCGTCTCAGACAGAGGAAACCAGTGCAGCACAGTCCAGAAAAGAAGGCAGACTTTCCTTTGCCATCAAGCTCTGAAATATGAACTTGCTCCAAATTCTGTTCCAATACCTTTCTAGGCACCAACTTCAACAGGGAGACCTGTGAAGTCAGTATCCTCTGCTTCACCAGCACAGACTGGAACTTGGAGTCGGGAAGAACCTGCAGAAGAAAACGTACCCAGCCCACCCAAGGCAAGACCTGCACACAAAAACACCTCGAGTAAAAATCTGTCTCAGCCAAATCTCCAGCCCTGGGGAAATATTGGAGCAAGACCTAAATCTAAATGGAAAAAACTAGACTATGCAGTAAGTTCTCCACTGTTTCAGTGAACGTGAAAAAATAATTGACTTGTTCATTTTGTGTACAAAAGCTTAAATAGACTTGGTTAAAACTAGTAACATCATTAACTTATTAGAATTTGCTGATTAATTGTTGCTAGCTTTCAAATAACTTCACATTTTATGTATAGGCCTCCAGTGATGATCCTTGCACAATATGTCATGATGAGCTAAGCAGAGACTGGTGTGAACTAGAATGTGGGCATCGTTTTCACAGAGAGGTAAGGATTCTTGTTCTTGACGCTTCGATGCAAATGTTTATGAACTGTTCAGTTACACCGTTGTTTCACTTTCTAAAAGCAACCCCCCCCTTACACTTCAGTGCATAAAGAACAGTGCACAATTTTCTTTTACATGCTTTGCACACCAAGACTTGCTATAGATACGGTCTTACTGTGTCAGAAAGTAAGTTTCTGGATTTAGATTTTTAACTACAATGGTAATTCATCACAGTGAATTCAAGCTTATTCTTCAGAGAATAAATTCGGTAGTCAGGTCACAGATTTGTTTGCAGCATACTTACAGAATAGGCTGTCACTATAAACCCTGCATCTGCCACCTGATAGCAGTTGCATGTGTAACTTCATGTAGTAAGAAAGTCAGGATTATGTTAGAATATCTGGATATCTCTGTCCATGACTTTTCCCATTACCTGATTTGTTTACTGCTGATTCGTTATTGCAGAATAGGTGCAAATGTAAAGTGACTGGCACAGCGTCAGACTTGAGAACAGTTTTCTAATCGCGGATTTTAGTAACACAGAACATGTTGGCAAAGTGCTTACCTGTTAGTTACAATTATTAATATATTTAAGCTGAACTCTTTATACCGGACTTTTTCCTCAACATCTTCCTATTCTTGCAGTGCATTAGAACATGGCTTAAGCAACATTCAAGTACCTGCCCTATCTGCCGCGTTCATGCTCTGTTGCCAGAAGACTTTCCTGAGCTTCCCGCACGGAACAAATATGCCTAAACCTCATTTTCTTTGAACCCGCTGTAATAAGATGCAAAGTGGCTGCAGAATAACCACCACGATAGGGAACCGAAACGCGATGCCTGGAAAGAGACAGAATCCTGGTTTTATTGAAAACAGTAGTAGAACTCAGACTGATGCAGCATTTAACACTTCGCATTAAGCCGTACGACACTGGGACTGCCACGGCACCTGCAGAATCAAGTCGGCGTACTCCACGATCCAGCACTTTTCCTGGTTGCTGCCTAAATGTGCGAAGCCAATGTAGTTCAGAGGCCAGCAGCACACAAAGCTGGTAGCGTTTTTTGGCTACGGGATATTTAAACTACTCTATCTACTTCTCTGAAAGGATGGTGCATAATTCCTGTAAAGAGGGAGCTTTCCTTCAGAGCTTACACCACACTGAAAATAAATTCTAATATCAAACAAGTGGGTGACCTGAATGACAGACTAGCAGAATTTGGAACAGCCAAATTACCTTCCTTTGGCATAAACAATTAAAATTTAACTGCAGGGTTCAAATCAGGCTTGTTGTGATCATTATGAATGCAGTTCATTATAATTGCAGCTCCTTTCTTTGCATAAACACATAGCTAATAATTCAAATAGGTTAAATAATGACTCTTAGTAGTATTTTGAAGCGAGAATTTTTAAGTATTCATGTGATTCTTTCTGTTTGCCTGTCATTGAGTTGGAATGCTGTGGCTCAATTCTTTAATCTCGAAATATGGTTTGAATTTCCCTCATTGTTGAAGAGGCAATTTGTTTAAATTAGAATTACAGGATTTTTATTTTTGACAAAGCCACACTGCATCTGTATTCTGTGCATGACTTTTCATCAACAGCGTAAGGTCCAGAATACAAACAGCTGAAAGACTGGTTACCCTACTGCTTTAGAAGTCTGAGCTTGCCAGAGTACCTTCATCACTGTAAAATTTGTCTCAAACTGCCAGAAGACCAGGACTACAGTGTCTACAGCTTAACTGCTCTGAAAATAGAGTGTGACTATTGTTTGGATACAAACAGTATTAAATTGATTAGGCGAGATTAAGTTAGCTAATTCTAGGGATCATTTGTTCCCCAAAGTGAGTATGCATCCTCCTGATGAAGTTTTAAACTAGTCTGTGATTAATCAGTATATTAATTGGCACTTGGATCAAAAATAAAATTACTGCTGCAGCTGATGTGGGTTTTTTGTGTAATATTTTTGCTAAGTCTGAGTTACTGGTGAGTAATCTATTACATGCTAGAGAGCTAAGGCACCTTGCTGCCTGACAAATTAGGTACTGTGCTGCTCAACATCCTTTTCAGCTTCTGTTGTTTTCTTGGGGTGGGGGAATACATATCTCTCATCTTCTTAGCTGTTCACAAAAGCAGCTCAAGTCCTTGGTGCTGAGGACACTTTTCCAGTGCAGAGGCATCCTTGACCTGCTAAGCAGTGGCAAAGCAGTCCCACACGTGCCATACTGGGCAGCGTTCTCCAAGTAGACTGTAGCATGCCTTGAGGTATTACAGGCCAGCTGGCTGTGGAAACAGTGTGTGGTCTTAGTATGGAACTGGTATTTATGTACACTCACTTGGTATCAGCCAGTCTTATTTTTCCTGTACCCACAGCACAGCTAGGACCCCAGATTCCCAAGTGGGATGGTTTTTGATCTATGTTCCTTTTCTCTTCCCTGACTCCCATAAGCTGGAAGGATTTTAGTGCTTTCCAGAGCTAGTTCATTCACACCTTTAAAAAAGGAAGCCTTGGAGCAGACAACCCCAGGACGGTACTGCATGGGGAGAGGGGCAGCTGAGCAGGCTGTAGTTCTGCACTAAGGGAGCTGACCTACTCTGGGTGCTGGGGCCCCTCTTTCCAAATCACTTTTGAAGGTGGGAGGTGACAGTGCCACTTTGAGCAGCAGGTGGCACTCTTCTAACATCAGGTAGAATAGAAGGAATAGCTTTTGTTTTCCAAAAATCATCCTGTACAATTTCCTGGGCTTAGAACATAACACTTCTCTAGTAAATAGCTTCTTTTTTTCCCCCCACAAGACAGTTGTAAGACACTGAAATAATAATTTCAGATGTTTATTCCTAAACTACAGATGATACAGAACCAGGACCAAACCTAGAATGACATTTTCCTGCTTGGCAATGCTGCTAGATAAAAGCTAAAGGAAATTAGTTTTGGCAGTTTTCTTCATTCTGTCTTTCCAGGTTGTCATCTTTACACTTATACTTTATATACTTAACCTGCTTCCACCCCACATAACAGTGGATAGAAAATTCACCATTAGAATGAAATTGTGGCTGTTCTGTTAACTTAAAACAGCATCAAAATCTACAACCTGTTTGTGTTGGGAAGGTTATTTCTTGCTGAAATAGTTTTTCTATATTTTCTATATCATTCCTTTAAGGTGTATACTTACAAACACTTCAATGTATTTACCTTAACTTACTGCCTTTCCTGGCATTTACATTCACACTTTAAGTTGAACAAGTGACAATATTAGCTCACCTAATTAAAAAGAGTGACTGTCTCCTGTGGAACAGTTGTTTGTATAATGACAAGTCACAGGGTGCCATAGTGTAGAAGTTTTTAATGCAGTTTTTCCACCATCAGCATAGGCTGGTCTGCAACACCTCAGTGGTGCTGTTTGTCACAAAACAGACATTTTTCTTCCCCATCAAAACAGAGCTGTAGATCTTGTTTTATAAAAGGGAAGATGGTATAATGCAAAGAATAAGTATATTCTCCAACTAAAACTTTTGACTGATCTTCCTTTTCAGTGCCATTTTACAGAAATCGCAAAGACAAAGTAAGGGCACTCTTTTTCTAATCCAGGGAAGAGCCCACAAAAAGAACACATGCCAAACGACAACTTCAGTTCTAAGCCTTCCTCCAATACAGACTCATATTCCCAGTTTCACTAAAATGTGCTCGGTGTTACTTCACATCACTTATTTCACATTTGTCTTGCAATATTCATCCCACGCTACCACCTTGCATTGTTGTAGCACCATTTATTACACCTTCAAAGACACTGCTTAGTATTGTATGCCAAGTCCCATACCTTTTCCCCAGTATACATACACCATGTATAACAGGACTGACTAGGTTTAAGAAGTCTTTAAAGGACTTTGGAACAAGCATTACAAAATGAAATACAGAGAAAAGCTTTCTACAAGTTGTAGAAATATACAGAATCAATCCTTCAGGATTTGTCTGAGAAAAATTGGGGAGAAACATGGTTGTGGAAGTCAGAAACATACCTGACAAGGCTGCCTGAATAGATACATCCATGGAGGCTATCGCAAGGCAGGCAAAGTCTTAGCAAGACTGAGAGAGAACTGAAAGCACACGAACTACCAGCAGGGAGAAGGAAGTGGTGTGTTTTCAGTTAAAATAAGACATGGATAGAGTTTCACTTTGCCTCTGAAGAATTTTGTCCTTTTTCAGTACATCCTTAAGCGATTCTCCTCTGACTATTTACATCCTGCAGAGCTTCAGCGGGAAGTTCTCTGTGATGAGATGATCATCGTGCAGAAGGACAACAACGTTAACTTCAAACTCTGGAAGAAGAAGAAGAAAAATGAGTTCCATCTTAGTCTGAATTGTAGCAGCAGGGTGAGAGGGAGGCAGTTCCTGCTCTCAGACACAGCATTTCATGGGGCTCTTGCAAGCCCTTTCAATACCCTGGATTTTCCTGTGGCAGGGATGAGCAAGGTACACCAGGCAGAACCTCGCCACAGGCATCCCAGACCTCAGACTGTTCCTAGAGAACCTTGGCTTGTTCTCATCTTTGGGATTCCTCTGGATTCATTTCAGTATCGCTGAAAAACTACAACATACAGTCTTCTGGACAACAGGCAGAGTTCAGACATCTAAGATTAAAGTGTTTTGGGAAAGACGCCTCACACCAACATGCATTGTTTAGAAGCACGTAAGCGTTAACAGAACAGCCTCCTCCGCTGCTGCCAGCATGTAACATAGCCTTAGAATCCTGCACTATGTATGGCCTTACCAAATTAAACACCAAAATACAATATAACTGCAAACTATGAAAAGCATTTTTCAAAAGAAAATCTACTCTTTATTATAGCATGTTGTTCAAAACCAAAATCAGTATCAGATCTATAATCAATCCTAAACGGAGACAGAATACAAAGTCAGGTGGAGTTAATAAATGAAGGGAACCAGAGATCAAAATAAACTGAAAGTAATTGTACTTTTTTAGAATCTTCATAACTATATTAAGACTGTTCTTATAAATAAGAGTAGATACTACGCTAACAGTTGCCATTTATCACTGTGAATTACTATTCAATAGCTAGAAAAGGCAAAAAGTACAGAAGAATATTATTTGGGGGAAAATTGCTGTACACATCAGGTGCAAAAATGCTCTTGGGGGAACAGTTAAACAGGTAGGCAAAGCTCAAAAACCAGTTGTGCACATTTGTCCAAGCTATACAGCAGAAATGTAGGAGGGGCTTCAGCTGGGAAGGATCCTAAAGGCAGGGACTTGTAGCTTTAATCTGATACAATACAATTAAAAAAAAAACCAAACAAAACCAACAAAACCCACCACCACCAGATTCCAGCAGGATGAAGGGAAGAAAACCAGGCTAGCAAAGACAATTTTTGCAGTAATGACTTGAACAAATGAGGAAAATCCTAGATTTCAGGTGTTTGCTAATGAAAATGTTGGATTTTGGCAACAATAAGCAGGCAGAAGCAGCTAGTGTAGATCCAGAAAAGCAAAAGTCACATACAACTAACCTTACTTTTTCTACTTCTGAGTCTGTGTAGAGGGAGAATGGGAAACGGAGAGGGAATGGAAAGAGGGATACTCACTAGTGATGAAAAGAAGGACAGGGTCATCTTGGCATTTTATTCTTGGGCTATTACTCAAGTGTTTAATCACAGGTAATTTTTTGGCAGGAAAAAAAAAAAATTACCTGCCATTACACTGCTTCTCCTCTCCCTTTACCACATAATTCTATTAGTCAGGAGTAGCTTAACAGTTGCACAACTGGTTTTAGTGATAAGTATTTGGGCTGTATTTTCTCAATCTATATGAACTACAGCAGACTGCAATCCTGCTGAGGAAAACTACAGGGAAACAGTTGGATGTCCCTGGTTCTTGCAGTGCTGACAGCGATTTATCCCATTATCTGCCAGAAGCTAAAGTGAAACTAGAAACTTACCTGGGAAGAAAGACGCCAACACAGCATGAAGCCCTACGCACTTACCAACTTTGAAGTTTGTTGTTTCGAGGGTAGGGCAGGTGAACAACCTGGGAAACACCATGTAAATAGGAATTGGTAGGCCCCTGCAGACATCCCCATCAGCAATCTGAATATTCTGTATCTCTGTGGCATCTCTGGCATAACCTTCCGCACACCCTGGTGAAAGCGGGAAATTCAGAGGGAGAGGAAGGGAAGGGAAAGA